AGCTGACCTCATTTTCTCTCCCCCATCTCTCATCTCTTCTCAACACAAGCCATTAGGATGAGCCTTCAGAAATAATCATGGCCTCGTTCCCTTTATCGTTTGGAGGGTTTCGGCGTATCTGCTAGCTTCTGTCCTTGAATTATTCATGTTTTTAGTAAATAGATGGATCGCAATGGTGGATGTACACCCACCCCACCCCCACCCCAAAGGAGGACAAATAACAGAAACATGGGTGAAGGGATACAGTGGATATTGTAAGATAATATCTATCTATCTTTATAGATGGATATAGATATAATTTATCAAGGGTTCACAAAGGTGGGAGGATAGGGGAGGGAGGGAAAAAAGAGGAGCTGATACCAAGGGCTCAAGTAGAAAGATAATGTTTAGAAAATGATGATGGTGGTGCCAACATAGGTACAAGTTTGCTTCATATCGTTGATTGGTGGATAGTTATACTATCTGTAAGAGCCCGCCAATCAGATGATTTAAACAAGCCCCCCTCCAGAGTCATAAATAGGTGGATACATGACAAAAGCTTCATCACTCCCCAATTCTTTCTGGCCCTTAGATGCTTGCTCCCAGACTCCGCTGCCCTGCTTCTGAACCCATTCTCTTCCTTCCATGCAGGGGCACCAGCACCCATTTGCAACCAACGTTGCTTCAGACGGCCCAGCCCCGGCTGTAACAGACCGCCTCTCCACAGAGGAAGAGGCGCTCCACTACGCGTCCATCAGCTTTGACAGGCTGAAGCGAAAGGAGCGGGAGGACACTGACTACTCAGAGATAAGGGCACCCAAATGAGGAACTGCCCAAAGCCACAGCCCTGGGTGGAAAGTACATGGCCTCCCTCAGCTTTGGGTTCTTTGAAAATGAATGTACTGCTAGGCAGGGGCAGGGGTGGGGTGGGGGTGGGGGTTGGGGTAGACGCATAGACTAATCCTCTGAGACATGTGAGAAACCACAAGACTTGTGTCCAAGAAAGCAGAGTTCCAATCGACGTCGCTTCTTGAGCAAGTCACTTGATGTCCCCATGCCTTGCTTTACTGTTCTGTACAGCAAGAGCGTAAGTTCCTTCTAAGCAGGTTATTTGGTGTCCCTTGAATCCTGCCAAAGGCTCGTTTGACGACACCCCGGGCTACCTCACTAGAAACCCCAGGCAGTCTGCTTCCTAAAGGCTGTCTTGAAAGAAGCCTTGTAGAGTGTAGGCCTATGAGGTGAGGATCAAAATATTCGTGATCTTAGAAACAGTAATGGGAGTAATGATTCCATGAGGGTATGGGAAGGGAAGCAGGGGAAGAGGGGGAAATAACGTTCATTTAGAAATAACATTCAATGAAAATGAAAATGTTTACAATTCAAGGTAGAATAAAGATATATATATATGTTTTTAATAGCAATCATGGCGGTAAAATCCCCCCATCGAGGGGCACGAATATCAGAATTGTAGGTGAAGGGCTATATTGGCCCGTGTAAGATATGTAATAATAGTAATATTAATAACATATACTATATTATTAGTATATTATTAGCTCACGAGGGGGGAGGGTTGGGGAGGGAGGGAATAAAAGGGAACTGATAGTAAAGGGGTCAAGAAGAAAGTGTCTTGAAATTGACCAAGGCAACAACTGTACAAGTTCGCTTGATATCATTGATTTATGGACTGTGCTAATATATGTGAGAGCCCCCAATTGAATGATTTATTGATAAAAATTAATAAATTAATTTAAAAGAAGGAATTTAATAAAAATTCACGACTACTAGAAAGTTCATAAAAATTAAAAAAATATTCCTGGAAATGTTTCATGAAAGGACCGTATCATTTTCCCGCTCATTTCTGAAGACCCCCTCCGAGTCTGCACACCTGGTCTCACCTGGACTTGGCATCAGCTGGATGGCAACCGAGAACCGGGTTATTATGCGAGATACATGAGAAAGCACACAGACTGCAGCTCAGAGCTGGTGTGGCACGAAGCACGTGGTCAGGGAATGCCAGGTTTCCCTTCTCTGAGCCAGAAAGTGTCTGCTGATGCTCCCCCACCCCCAAGTCTCAGAGGGACAAGTCCCAGAGACCATCACACCAACTTTCTGGGTCATTCCCATGACCCACCCAAATAAAGTTTACATCTTCCATTGCTTTCTATTCTGGACAGCATGCCTTTGTCCATGCAGACCTCTCCAATCTCATTTCCCACCAGTCACCCGTATTCT